ACACTTTTAAAATAGCAAGAAACTAGGGGCAAAAAGTACAAATTCATATTTATGTGTAGTCAGTCAATAAATATTTATTGAATGAACTAATAAATTAATGGAAGGTGTACCAGATCCTGGCAGGCGAGAAAGTCAGTCGGAGGCAGTGCTTGTTCTTAGTGCACTCACAATGAAGAATCAAGGAATTCACCTTGGACGGGCTCATTTCTCCCTCTCCTAGGCCCTGTGCAGTCTCCTCTCAGACTTATTAGTTCTGAGGGGCTCCTGGCTGCCTCACACCAACAACGGTGGCCAGTGGACACTGGCGATGGTGTCCTGTCATTTTGGTTTGTGAAGAGTTTGTGCGCCAAGTCAAACCCTGGGAGGAGTGGGGAGGGCATCCGCTTTAATTAATTAGAGGTGTCTCTATTCATCTCCGTAAATGCAACATCTAGCACAAGACTTGGCCCACAGTAGGTGTTTAAAAATGCTTGCTGAGGCCAGGCGCAGTGGCTCACGCCTGTAATCCCAGCACTTTGGGAGGCCGAGGCGGGCAGACCACGTGAGGTCGGGAGTTCGAGACCAGCCTGACCAATATGGAGAAACCCCGTCTCTACTAAAAATACAAAATTAGCTGGACTAGGTGGCGTGCGCCTGTAATCCCAGCTACTCGGGAGGCTGAGGCAGGAGACTCACTTGAACCCGGGAGGCAGAGGTTGCAGTGAGCCGAGATGGCGCCATTGCACTCCAGCCTGGACGACGAGAGTGAAACAACGTCTGGAAAAACAAAAACAAAAAAAACAAAACAAAACTTGCGGAAAGAATGAAATGACCAAGACTTCTGCAGGGCCGCCCGTCAGGTTCTCAACTAGTCACTCTTCACATCTGATTCATATCTTAAAGCAGCCTCGCAGGTAGGTCTGCATCATTTTCCCATCCTACATCGGAGGCGCTGAAGCCCAGGCGGGCTTCCCGAATCGCCCGGGCCCACGCTGCAGAGTGAAAGCCACAGCGGCAAAGCCTGCACGCTGGACGCTGCGCCGGAGCGTCCCCAGGTGCAGCAGGCTGCGCTCCGTAAGTGGGTCCTGGCGGGAACCGCGTCCTGCTGAACCCCGATCAGGCCCGGGGAGACCCTGGGAGCGACGCGGCGGGCGGGGTCTGGGCCCGCGGCAGTGGCTGAAGCCTCGGCTCGCTCTTCCTCACAAGGTGCGAATCCAGCGCCTCCAGCTCGGGAGGGACCTGACGTGCGGGACGCGTCCGCCTCAGAACCCGAGGCGCGGCACATACTCGGCAAAGGCCGCCGGCGTCCCCGCAGCAGTGGGAGGAGACTAGGGATGCCCGGAGGAAGACGCTGACCGGGCGAGCACCTGAGCGCCCACCTGTGGCTCATCCCGGAGACCCC